AAGAAGAACAGATGGTGAACTTTAAATGCTCCCTTAGTATGATACCATTTTCCATACAAGGTACCACACACTCACACACACACACACACACACACACACACACACACACACACACACACACATGACTTTTGACTCATTGTACGTTAATGACAACTTCATGCAGACACTTCCTCAGAATGCTGCTTCCACTAGTTCCAGGAAGAAGTCTTCTTTAAAAGGCCACGAGTTACAGAACCCCCTCAGGGTCTCTCTGCATTTCCAAAATGTCAGCTCGCTAAAGCACTCCCTCTTTGCTGCAGGACATTAACACACACACTGACACACACACACACACACACACACTCTCATATTTACCTTGCTCAGTGCTCTCTCCCGCATTGACTTTCAAACCATTCGCAGACGCAGCCACTGCAAAATGTGATGTCTCAAGCAACTTGAGCTCCAACTCACACCGAAGCAGCACCAATAAAAAATCACTTCATTTCTACGTGACAGCCTTCAAACTTATGTTGAAGTGAAATGGAGTTTTCTTGATGAGATTCACCACCACGGCCCATTTATTGTTCAATACGTTCAGTGTCCCCGATGCCCTCCTCTGCGTTACGACAGCTTTCAGAGAACTAGAAAATCCCCAGTTTTGTACATGCTTAACTTCCATTTGCTAACTTTTTCAATTCTGACTGTTTGTTTCTAATAGCCATAGTGACGGCGTATGAGACCAACACACAGCACGATCCAAACAACAACAACGCCATGCTGGGAGTTCACGCCTCGGCCTCTGCTATCATTCAGTACGGAAAGATCGGACGCAAACAGGTACTGGTTTTTGCTGTTAAGAAAAGTTCAGAGTAAATGTGAATCCTAACCTTCAAACTGTATCGTTCTTAGATCCTGTTATAATTGTGTTTTTGATCCCCCCCCCAGGGTCTGGTGAACGTGGCGCTGGACATTCTGAGTCGTATCCACACGATTCCCACCGTGCCCATCGTGGACTGCTTCCAGAAGATCAGACAGCAGGTCAAATGTTACCTGCAGCTGGCGGGCGTCATGGGCAAGAACGAGTGCATGCAGGTAAAGTGGGAACTCTCTACTCGACTATATATACTTTCAATTAGAGAATCACATTTACTTACTTACTTGCTATCTTGCTTGCTTACTTGCTAACTTGTTTGTTTGTTTATTTATGTGTTTGACCATTGCAGTGAATATACATGCATTTACAGGCATTAAAAGTAGGGCTACACAATTTCGAAAAAATAAATGATTGCAAATATAAATTGACAGATACAGCAATGCCGATATGATTTGCGACATTGGGGGAAATTAAATATTTGTATTACTATTTTTATTTTATTTTTTTAAAGATTGGTGTCATTCAAAAATGTTATTAACCCCGCCGTTTCTAGCCACCCCCACAATACCTCATTGAAAACGTATTTTGACTTCACTAAATATTGCTCCCACTGCAATTTGGGTACAGCGCTAGTCCATATTACAATTTGTATTAATTCTGCCGTTCTAATTAAAACCCTATATATGATGCTTTGCTAATGAAAACATGTTTATTCAGAATACTTTCCATAATAACTGCAATAGTTGTAGCCTCAATACATGTAAGCCCCAGGGTTGTTTGGTGGAACTCGTAATTAATAACACTTTACAAATGCCAGTGTGTTAACGAGTGTGTTTGTCATGTTTAAAATCACTCTCGGTTTTAGAAGCTTGTAAGTAACTCATTAAATATTTTATTAGCAAAATCACTCTCCACAGAGTTTGTACCAATCTAATTACGGCTGTTCCAAACATGATAAATACATCGTGCCCATGCAACACCTTCACCATAATGCAGTGCAGCTGCTTGGACCCTGATTCAATCTGAAATATCTACTGAGGAAAAACAACACATTTTATGAATTTAGTTTGATTTAAGGACTTGTGTTGACCCTGCTTCAGGCGCAGTTAGCGGTACTCGGAGTGGGTGAGGTAGTAGGGAGTGTTTGGGGGAGGCTCTAGGTGACAACTTATAGCAGGGAGACTTATAAGAGAGTGTAACTCAGGAGCTTGCTCTTAAGCTCATGGAGTACTCTGATTAATAGAAGCAGTTCAGCACACCACAAGTCATTAAAAGTGCCAGTAGACACTCTTCTCTCTCTCCCTTTCTCTTTCCTATCTCATCTCCTCTGCTCCTCTCTCGCCGGCTACACATCGTTTGTCACGGCAGCACATAGGGGACACCTAATCAGAGGCTCACCATAATGGAAGTTTAGTTCCCTTAACACCTCTTTTCTTACTTCTTAATGAACACCGAGCAGACTGTTTGTTTTTCACCTGTGATTATGGCCCTGTCCAAATCAGAAGGCATCTTTTTTTTCTCCTCTCCTCTCCTCTGTGAGTTAAACTTCTGTTTGTTTGTATTTTAAGGGTTTGGAGGTGATCGAGTCGACCAACCTGAAGTACTTCACCAAGGAGATGACTGCTGAGTTCTACGCTCTGAAGGGCATGTTCCTGGCACAAATCAACAAGTACGTCCACCTGTGCTCCAGCTGTCTTCTTATTCGCTATCTTATCTAAGCGGTTGACCAATCACAACAGAGCAGGCCAGCTAACCAATCAGAGCGGACTGGGCTCTGGTTTCAGACAGAGGGTGAAAAGAGGTGCTGCAGTATGAGAACAATAAAGAGCTTTGTGAACATTAAAGCATGGAGACATGTCACAGTAGAGACTACATTCTGATATGAACCTGAAAATGAGCAGAACATGTCTTTTTTAAATAATTCTCATCGAGTTTGAACTTATCAATGGACTTCATGACATTTGAGTCTACCTTTATGTTGTTTTGTACTTGTCTTCCTGTCCTACTTTTTCTTCAACCTCAAGCTGTGTCAGTGGTCCCTTAACACTGTGTGGGTGTTTTATATTTTTATATTCAATCACCACCACCTTCTTGCCTCAAGCCAACTCACCTCTGAGAATGCATCGCTAGGTAACCCCTGTGACGTTGTTTAGATGTGTTTCCTGCTGCAGGGCTAGCCTTTGCATCAAACTACTGCTCTCTCTAAGGCCATGCACACCCACAACACCCTTTTCCCCTTCAGCGCCCCCTTTACACCCGTCAACTTTTGACGTGACATGTCGTCCTGAGGGGTGAAAGTCAAATTAAGGAAGGCTTATTAAATGTATATGCGGCTCAATAATTAGCTCGAGGCAATTTGCAGGAATCTCCGCGATCAGCAGAACTTGCCTCCACCTCAGCAGGGTTTATTGCAATCATTAAGTTTCCCCGACACCGGGGGAGAATTAACAGCAGAGTGGGGGTGAGGGCTTGGGAGAGGCTGTGTGCGTGTGCAACCACATGTGCAAAGGATTTTGGGATCATTCAATTAAACGGGTGTCAGAGATTTGACAGTCTGCTGGGTGCCGGTGCTCCTGTTGAGCCGGGTAGAAACTGTTAATGTACTTCAACAGTGACGGAGGAAACCCCATTAAGTATTACCGCGGGGTCCCGGCTCTCACTCCCGTAGCAATCAAACCTCCCATTTCTTAATCATATGCCAAAATGCCTTTTATAATAACACTTTTTAATTGATTGGCTGGGGAGCGATATCACCGTAAAGTAATCCAGAGAGGAGTTTTGGAAGCACTCCTAAAATCTGAGCTCCATTTCCCAACTGTTGCTTATCGGCATCTCCCGTTCCCGACTGCAGGGCGCATCTTATTTATTAATCAAAGGCTGAAAGGTGTACTACAATTATTCAGATTGCGTGCCAAAGTGAGGTTAGGAGCTGTGGTGAAAACCGCTGATGATCCGGAATATATTTCACTGTCAGCATAAACGAACAGTCAAACCCCCGGGTCTCCTGACACATTTCCTGTGTCTATTTCTCGCCTGCTATTTTCTGAATCCAATATTCAAAGTGCGACTTCTAGATTGCTTCTAGATAAGCTAACTTATTAAATATAGAGAAGAAATAGAATAAGAAGTGCACATCAATGGCTTCAAAAATGAGTACGTAGCAGCAATGTAAAGAAAATGACATAAGTAAGGTGTTGAGGTATTATAAAAATGTATGTTTTTGAAGATTGTAGTTCTTGAAGCGATTTATACCGATAGAGATGTGCGATTTTTGTTCGCCTGGCTGCCGCTGTCATTCCTGATAACATAGGAACACGTTAAGCTCCTATAATGTCGCCCAGCATTACATGGATTGATCTGCACAGTATGATGGCGTTGGGTTGAGCTCCAACACAGGAAGACGCCTCGGTGACATTAATTCATGCCGGGTTAAACGCTCACTACCGGGAAAGGGGGGGAGGCCTTGAAGTTTAGAGCAAATGAAATGTGGTGCTTATTGATGTGTAGTACATCATTCAGAATGTGATCATCATAATCTGTTTCTCGCACACTCCATCCTTCTCCTTTTCTTTTCGCTCCTTCCTCCCCCCTCTCTGCAAGTTATGCATCCATCTCCTCCAACCCTCTCGTCCTACTTTGTATTTCTTTTTTTTCTGATTTCACTTCCACCCAATCCTACCTTGTCTCCTTCCTCCCAATCCTACCTTGTCTCCTTCCTCCCTTTGCCCTTCACTTGTCTGTCTGTCCCTCCCGCTCTAACGCTTCTCTCCGTCCCCCTCCCTCAGGTCAGAGGAGGCCAATAAAGCCTTTTCGGCGGCGGTTCAGATGCACGACGTCCTGGTGAAGGCCTGGGCCATGTGGGGGGATTACCTGGAGAACATCTTCGTCAAAGACCGGCAGCTCCACCTCGGGGTCTCCGCCATCACCTGCTACCTGCACGCCTGCCGCCACCAGAACGAGAGCAAGTCGCGCAAATACCTGGCAAAGGTGAGGAGGGACCTGGGAAAGAGGGTGTCAGGGATCCATTACACTTCGTACAAACAGAAAGGACAGCATAAGAGACGTTCGTCAAGTCAGCCAAGAGTATAGAAGTAGTTTACTAGAAAGTAGTAATTATATTGTCATCCAAACTGCATATTTAGACCCCATTTACACGGGAACGCAAACGAACCGAATTCGATATCAAAAAAGTTTCCCGTTCCCACGGATACGGCTCAATAAACGTGTCCCTTCACACGAGACCGCTCGACCCGCTGGAGACGCTGTAGTACATACGCCGGGCCTGTAAGTGACGCTGTACTTCCGCCACAAAATACACCAAAAGCTGCGAAGAAGACCCCCGAGCATGGTTGCCATGGTTGCCCTTCTGTTTATTCTCCGCGGTGGATTTAGCAACATGTAGTTCATGTAGTTCTCCATGTCCACTTGTTGCTGATGGTTGTGGTAGCGGAGCTGTAGATTTTGCACTAACATCTGTAGCATGGTCAGTAGCAGTAGAAAAGTAGCAGATACAACCCGTTTCGTTCTCGTGTAAACAGCGCCTTACATGTCCAAGTGGCACTGTAGCATCAATGCTTTTATGTCAACCGTTTGCATACTTCAGCAGGAAACACACAAGTATAAAACTAGATACTAATAATAGTCATGATACTAATCTAATGTTTTATGAACTGATGATTGAAATAGAATTATAGATAATATCTACAAGGATGAGGTAGGCAGAATGTGAAGACTTATGGTGCAAAGATAATACTCACAACATAACCACTGGTATCTCTTGACCTGAGATGTTGAGGATTTATGAATGGGATCAGTGTTTTTGGTGGTGTTTGTTTCTAAAACTAGCATGTCAACAAATAATCCTGCAACTAATAGCCTCAATCAAGGCGAGGCAAGATTATTTCTACAGCATATTTCAACAATTAGGCAGTTCAAAGTGCTTTAAGACAAAAGGAAGAAGTTATAAAATTACTTTTAAATGCATTTAAAACGCCAAGAGAACACACATTAGAACAAGTCAAAATAAAATAATCCGGGTATGAAAAACAAGAATACAATTTACAGTGCAGTGTAAGATATACATAATTGTTTGCTTTAAAAAAACGCAGCAGCATTTTCCGGGAGTTTGTTTGAAATACATGGAGCATAAAAACTAAACGATGTTTGCTATGGTAAGTCTTCACAGTATGTCGGCCCTTAACTATTCAGTGCTTTAAAAACCCACCGTATTATTTTAAGGTCATTTTCTGACAGACAGAAAGCCAGTTTAAAGTTCTCAAAACCAAAGTGATGTGATCCACATTTTTCAGGTATAGCCACTTTAAATTCCCTACTTCCCAAACCCCCTCCAGTCTGCACATTATTATTTCTGATGAGGAGACAGAAATGATGTTTCCCCCTCCTCAGACTGGGCCACAGGTACAGGAAGAGAGCAGTGATTCATTACAGGTGCAGGTGGACAGTGTGATGTGTTCCCACGGCAGATCAATGGAGGAGTGAAGGCCGTCCTCATGCAGGGGGGGGGTGGGGGGTAAACAGACTAATGGCCTCCCCTGATACTTCAATCTGTCGACCCTCTACAAGGACTGACCTTTCTCTAGCAGTCAGACCCGTGCTGCCATACTTACCAGTTGGTGAAGCCCTGTGTGGTAGCTAAAGAGGGGGATCCTTGCTAACAAGCAGCCCACCTTCTCTCACACACACACACACACACACACACACACACACACACACACACACACACACACACACACACACACACACACACACACACAGACCTTTAGTTGCTCTTATAGTTACGATACGAAAATACTTTAATGGTCAGATCAAGTCTGAAATGCTCCTTGCATCACAGCAGCTCCATGTGTAACATCAACATGGACAAATATCAAGACACAATACATGAAAAACAAACATAACTGTACAATCACTGAGAGAGTTGGTAAAGACCTGCTGTAGGATAGGTTATCCTTGATATCCGATGATCAGAGCACAAAATGTAAGAAACTACAGCGGTGGAAGAAGTGACAAGATATTTAAAAGAAAAAACATTGGTGGAAAGCAACATTACTAATGTACTATTTTGACTAGGGCTGTCAAACGGTTAACATTTTTAATCTGATTAATCACAGCTTAAAAATGTATTAATCATAATTAATCACCATTCGAACTATGTCCAAAATATGCCATTTCTTTATTGT